GTTTTCACTGAATAAATATTGAGTTTCCAGTACAGTTTCCAGTTTCTTTTTATATGTTGAATATGTAGCAGTGAACAAAGCCAACAAAGCCCCTATACTCACAAAGCTGACATTCTCAAGAAAACAGACAGAAAATACAGAAATATATAATATGAGGTCAGGTGGTAAAAAAGCTATGAAGTAAACTAAATCAGGACAAGGAATGGGGGTGGTTGCTCCCTTAGATAGGTAGTTAAGGGAAGGCCTCTCTGAGGAGAAGACTTCTAAGCAGAGATCTGAAGCAAGTCATGCAAACATCTGAGAGAACAGCACTCCAATGAGAAGGAATAGCAAGTGCAAAGTCTTTGGGGTGGAAATTGTCTTTGAGTGTTTGAAGGGCAGCAAGAAGGAAGTGCAGCTAGAAGAGAATAAGCTGGAGAAGAGTGGAGAGAAAAGAGGGAGGAGGACTAGATGGTACAGGACTTAGATGCGATGGTATTGAGTTTAGATTTTATTATGAGAGTAGTAGAAGCCACTGGATGGTTTTAAACATGGAAGTAATATATTACAAACTATATTTTTAAAAATCACCTTTACTGCTTTGTGATAATGGGGTCGGAAGGGAAGATGAGTTGGAAATAAGGAGGCTGTTTCAGTATGATGGTAGCTTTAACTGGAATGGTGATGGAGGAGGTGGTGAGAAGTGGTTTGATTAAAGATATTATTTGTGAAGGCAGAATTTACACCACTTGCTACTGGATTATAAGATGTGAGAAAAAAAGAGGCATCAAGGATAACTCCAAAGTGTTTGGTCTGAGAAAACAGATAAGTGGAAATCTATATACAGGAAAAAGGAGAGGAGACAAAAGGAGATCAGCCTTTTGTTGTAAAGCAACAATTAGATCTTAAATATATTCATTTTGAGCTGCCAACCATATGTTGAGCTGAGCTGAATATATGATCCAGAGTTCAGGGGACAGACTGTGGCAGGAGACATAAATATGAAAGTAATCAACAGCAACAACAACAACAACAAAACAGAATTTAAAGCTGTTTTCCTAGAAGAGATCACCTAAGGAGTAAACTTAGAAAAGAAAGAAGAAATTCAAGTACCAAGTACTGGAGTACTAAGTATTCCAGTATTTCGTGATCAAGAAGGAGAGAAAAATCCAACAAATAAAATAAGCAAAAAAGCAACCAGTGAAGCAGGAAGAAAACCAAAGAAAGGAGTGTGTTATCTCAGATGCACATAAATAAAAAGGTACAAAAAAAAGACACTAACTGTGTCAAATGCTGTGAGACAACCCAGGTATGCTGAGCAGGTCAAGCTCAACAACGGAGCCCAAAAGAAACACGTACATAACTCAAGTGGGGGACCAGAGAATAGCCTGATTAATGTAATTACAATGAAATGGAAATGAACAGAAGTTAAAAATGGATTAGAGCAGGAATGAAGATGTAGAAGGGCAGACAAAGAAGGTCCAGCATATTCACAATAGATGTTCCTAAGGAGAGAACCAAATGGTAAGACAAATACTTGATAATTTAAGAAAAACTTTCTAGAAATAAAGACACACAGTGCCTCAGGAGAAATTTAGTCATATCCTAATAAAATTACCAGACATTAAATGATAATAAATAATCTTTGGGC